ATTATTTTTATATATATGTGTATATATATATCTATATATTAAGCCAAACATATATAGATATATATATACATGCATATATATACACACACACATTTATAGATATAGATAGTTAAGATATATGTGTACATATTTATGGCCTTGTTGCTGAGCGGCTTCGAGTTTGGCGATTGACCATCGGCTTTGGCGGTTTGGGGCGGTTACGGATCTAGCGATAGAAATAGGCAGTGATGAAATTGAGCAAAGAGGAATAGGAGAAGGAACAGAAATTGTGTGGCAGGGGAAAAAAGAAGATAGGAAAGGAGGAGAGGAGGAGAGACAGGGAGAGGTAGAAAGAGAGCAGACTGAACGACATTGACAAGCGGACGTGACAAGGCTAAATCGAATGGAAACTAACTGTGAACTAGCTATACACACACATACACAGAGAGAGGATCACTCTCTCCCACACGCACACACAGGCACACAAGCACACGGATTGACAGCGTGGCGCCTCTCCTATGACTGCAGATGTCCGGCGTATTCGCGCACCAGCATCTGTCGCTCCAGTGTTGGGAAACTGCACAAAGTAACGGTGTCTGTGCGATTGATGCGATATCTCCAGGCATTGTGATCCTCTTCGTTTTTGTCRGCAAACTCCGGCGGCGGCGGCACCAGCTCATCCAGGGGCAGCCACTGCGGCAGCAGCGAGCGCGTTGCCTCCACCAAATGGCGCATCTCGGCCTTGCTGCGCTCCTCGTCTGCCTGGTCGCGCTGCAGCTTCTGCAGATAGCGCTGCCCGGCCGGACGCAGCTGCTGGAAGTCGAGCGGCGTGGTCAGCTTCAGCAGCGGCACAAAGAAACGCTTCAGTGTGTTGTAGGCGCGTCGCGGCTTGGTCAGCACCTGCCCCTCGTCCGGGCCCATGAAACTCGGCTGCGGATAGCTCAGCTCGGGCTTTGGATTCTTCAACTTCTTTGCAACTGGCGACGGCGGCGGTGGCCGAGGCAGCGGCTGCGGCTGCTGCGCCTGTGGCTGCTTCTTGGTCAACTGCTTGCCATGGACATCCTGGTTGCGAGTCAGCTTCGGCTTGGCCTCTTGGTTGGCACGACCACCCTTGACGCTGTTACGGGCACTTGTGGCTGCTGCTGCTGTGCCCACTCCTGATGATGGTCCAGCCACTCCAGCTGCTCCTCCCAGCTTCACTGTGGATGCATTGCGTCCACGGTTCCTGGCCAGGGCCGATGCCGACTGGCGTTTGATGGCTGCTGCCTCGGCTGCGATTTGACGCTGCTTGGCTGCTGCAGCAGCTGCTGCATTTCCTGCTGCACGCATCGCTTCGACGCTCATGCGCTGTGCCACTTGAGGCTTCTTGCCAGCATCGTGAGCCTTGGCTTGGTTAGTCTTTGGTCCAGCTGCGACACCGCCTGTGCCGGCTCCAACAGCTGCGACTCCTGCTGCGACTCCTGCTGCACCACCGCGTGCTGTACGCGGTGTGTTAGTGCACCTGATGTTGCTGCCGGCCTGCAGGAGGCTGCTGCTACACTTGTTCTTGGTCGCGCGCTGCATTTGATGGCCTTGTCCACGGACGCACACACAAAGATGACAGATGATCTCACAACCACACACAAAGCAGGAGGAATGAATTCAGCTGGAGACTCACTCGAAGATGGCCAATGCCAATGCTGCTAATCGCTTGGGTATTGAATATTTACTAAATGTTTTCTGCTACACAATAGTGTATGTCTCTCGGTTTTGTTGTGACTTGTGTGACTACTCGACTTACAATGAAACTGAATTCCAAACACCTATGCCAGATCGACGTCTCCCTGACAGTTTTCTCTATGGCTACTTTATCCGGTTGAAATCATTTGTCGACATTTGAATTTTGAGCAAAGGTGGAGGGAGGATTTGATTGTATATAATATTGAATTAGGACTAGCTAAAACGCCATCTGGCGGAAATCGCACGCAACTATCTACAGAGACAGCTATACGAAAAATGAGAGATCAAATCGTAGAGATCTAAGAATTAGTTATTGCTATATTATATATATTGAGACGGGATTAGCTAAAACGCCATCTGGCGGAAATCGCACGCAACTATCTACAGAGACAGCAATACGAAAAATGAGAGATCAAATCGTAGAGATCTAAGAATTAGTTATTGCTATATTAT